TTCCTGTTTTAACTTCCTTTGTTCTGGCTAAGCTTATTTTCTGGAAAGAATAATTTAAAAGTGATTGCATCTCATAAAGAGAACGGCAATTGGATCAACGAGAAACGATGAGGAAATATATGTCAAAATGGTCGGCGATATGCAAGGTATTTTAAATTTATTAATTAATACAATAGAAGCCATCATTGTTTTGAATATATATAATATGGCTACGAACTAATATTTCAACGATTAAATCAAGAAAATACCGAGAGTTAACTTCAAAGGGAAAAGTGATCCCTATCACACAACAGTAAATATCTCACAATTGCCACTAGTGACATCTAGTGGCGACTCAAAAATGTGGAGACAATTTTGGAGCAGTTTCAATGCGGTAGTTTATGATCAAAACATCCTAGACATTCAGAAGTTAAATTACTTGATCTATTGTTTCAAAGGAGATGCATTTGCTAGCTGTAAGCAGGTATGATATTGCACCAGAAAATTATAATGTTATAAGAGATTACTAACAGAAGAGTATGGTAAATCTTTCACTATAAAGAAGCCATTTTACAATGAACTACATTCCATCAAAGGAATGATCGTGACTAAAAAGCAATCATTTGAAGCTATGGAAAAAATATTTCGACAACTAGAAATTATTGGTGAGAACTTAGGATATTCAAGTATCGAAATTGCAATTAGAGATAAATTACCAGCGTGGACTTACAACTCTTCCTGATTAATAGGAATACTGCTTCGATTGCAAATAATGGAAAATGTTATAGTAACAGATATTGAAGAGGCCTTTCTGCAATTGGAATTACTCCCAATTTTTTTGAAGTCAGGGAAAATCTTTACGTCAACAATGTTATAATATCAACAAAAGAAACCAATAGTGCTCTTCTAAAATATAACGAATAGTGGATTCCATTCTTGACCCCGGTACTGTTCTGCTGCAACTGCGAAAGCAATGGTGAAGATCATTTGATGTCTGAAACAGTCATTTTGAAATGTTCCACTTGAAGTGGAATTATTGATTTGCTACTCCATGAATGATATTTTGCAAAAAAAGATTTACATAAAATAAATCCATCCCATGTCCCAAAAAGCATCGTGAAAGACAGAAGAATTATGGTAGAGCGACAGTAAAGGAATAAGTTTGATAGAGTAGTAGCACGTCCGGCGAGATAGATGTCTCATTTGTTGATTGTTTGCATCTCTCAGACTTTCGATCGTTTCTCGTTCCCTCACCTTTAAGGAGAAAAGCGACTGTTTGAATAGTAGAGACGAGTTCATCGGGTAGGAATGTTCGATGTATTCGTAACTGAGCTGACCATTGTCATGAACTGCCAGCCATGTTAATTGAATGGTATCGTTCATGTTCGTGTTGTTGTATGAACGTTGCTGAGATTGGTACCATTCTTTCCCTTTTTACGTTTGATATTGTTGATACATCTCTGTTAGCCTTTTACAAATGGCTTCATTTTTCTTTCTTCCCATCACCATCTGATTTTCATCAATAGCTATCAGCTTAGATCTTTCATTCTTAGTACCCTTTATTTCCTCTATGTATCACATTACCTCTCTCTTCTTTTCACATTACGCCGGCATTCTCTCTTCTTTTTATCTTTCCTTTCTGTGACTCTAACACGCTATCTTGAGCACCTCACAACTCGAAACTTCTCTTCAATCCTTGATGTTATTATCATTTTTGATCATAACTAAGTAAATAGTTGCAAGCATGCTCTTCGACCCTATTTTGTTATTTTCCCCTCCAAGTCTTTCTCGGCGCATATTATTGATACGACCTTTTAAAATAATTACCTGTATTAGATTATACCGCGGTGTGGACCTAGGAAACTGCCCTAATTTTAATGTAACGATAGGGAAGGACTCTAATAAAAATACATTTAACTCCTATAAATTCTCTCTTCTAATTGTTAACTTATCACAAGATAGTTGGAATGGCCAAAGCATAGCAACATATTTATTGCAAAAGCTTCAAAAATGAATTTCACATTGGATAGAAAAATCACCAGATATTTGTAACAAGTGCACAAAAAACTTATTTAAAGAGATCCAATGTTATTCAATGTTACCAAATAGAAGTTCGAAGTTCATATATGAAACATTGATTGGTGTAACTGACTTATTGGACAAACCGTTCAGAATCTTTTCTAAATAAACGAAAATAAAAAAAGCGAGATGCATTAAACTAACTTAAAAATACTGGCTCGGCAACAATGTGAAAAGTTTTAAGTTTAATCTTGATAAGATTCCTGTCGCAAATATCTCATATATTACACCAAAACTGCTCAGCAGACTAACGCAGAAAAAAGTGAATTGCGAGTAGATTTTGCGATATATAAGGTCAAAGTTTGAAAGAGTGTAGCGAAAAAAGATTCAAATTACTATTCCAATTTTGTTTGTTTAGATTGTGACAGACAAAATCTGCAATCTAAGAATATGTATCGAAGATCGCTTTAGGATAGCTTTAGATTTCAGTATACAAAAAACGAGAATTGCGAAGAAACGTCCAGATTTTAATTAGGCTTCAGATTTCATCTGTTCTCTTTATGCATGAAGCAATATGCAGAAAAGAGCCAAAATGCGATATTTTTATAATCGAAATATGCTGTCATTTGTGGCAGAGAAATATGTTAGGAATGGCAAAAAGCATCTTCGTTCTACATTTTGGTGCTCTCAGCAGCCAGCTTTTCTCTCATATCAGTCGCAATCAGCTACCTTTCTCTTCCCTTTTCAATATCATAAAAATGATCGCTGCTATTGTAACCCTTGTCCATCCATTCCTTTTCATTTTCATTATTTAAAATTATTTTTTTGTTGATACAAAGAACTTTTTAGAAGCTGTTACAGAGAAGCTTTCACTGGTTCCATGTAAATTTGAGAATTTATATAACCATATTGTCCGTTTTTGAGGAATGAAGTCTTAAATATCACATTTAATCAGTCAATATTATTGAATCTAACTAATGTGACATCAGCGCATCACTCATTTATCATTCGTTCCATCTTTGGGTATACTGCAGTTTCCATTTTGCTGGAAAAATTCTGATTTTATTCATTGTTATATTCGTATCAATTTACTGAAAATTAGTGAAGAAGGCTATAGCAGATATTTTTTTATCTTACATGATCGACACCTGCCTGAAACGATAAGCCTAAGCACCGATATTGGTACTTTTGTAATTGTCACTAAGGACTTGTTCTACGTTACTGTTCTCTGTTTTGATTCAGGCTTGCATTCACAGCGTCATGCTGCATGAAGGTTTTCACTATCCTAACTTTTCATAAGGAATTAATTTCTTAATAAAAAAGAAAACGAAGAGTTATCAACTACATGCCCTTTAATGAAAAAATTTTTCGCTTCTAAACTGGTTTCATTTTTGCTGAGCGAAATCGCTGACTGTCACTCACCAACATTATGAAAAAAAATTTCAAAAAATAGTGAGCATTTCCGCTCACGGGAAACCTAGTTTGAATCAGCGGATGGTTACTGTAAAAGGCTATTATTTAGAACACACCTTGGCTAACATAAGAGATATCAAAATATTTATCGTCGGCTATTGTCAGTCACATTTGTTGCTTTCTAATAATTTTCCATTGAACTTTTTAGCACGGTCTATCTCTTTTGACTAAACAGTGATATAATTTGAGATGTACCCATAGCGCATCTATTGACAAGTGATACCAAAAAAATTCGGAAGGATTATTTCTGTTCAATAGCTCCCGATTAGATAACTTACGATAAAATAGTCCTGATTCGGTACATTCATTTATTTTATGAATCTACGGTTAAAATTCATTTGAGTTTAGAAATTTAATGTTTAGTATATCGACTGAAGTTTTCTTGGAAGTTGCAAACATCTTCTGGCTCTTTTTTTCGTTTGGATAGTAATGACCGAACAAATAGCACTTTGAAAACATGAAGAAAGCTTTTATGACATATTCAAATTATCCCTTTCTTCTCTATGAATTCTGCAGTAAAAGCTGTTTGAATAATGATTTGAAGTTGGACTTTACTGTCCTTGTAAGATTGTTCAATTCATATTATCAAATAATACGGCTTGACTAAAAACAGAAACAGTTTAGAATCTCGTGGAATGACTGTTTGACCAGGTCCGATTACTCATTATAGAATCTCAAATTGGGCTATTAAAGGATTAATTTTATTAGGATATTTTTTGGCTTAACATTTCATTTGTAATTTTGTTGCAATTTTAAATTCAGTTCGAGGTTTAATAAAAAATCAAAATTTCCAGTCTTAGTTAGGCTTTAATACAAATAAAAATTTAACGCCTTATGTTTCTCTTTTCGAGAATCTCAATACCTATGAATTTCCAATGAACATGCTGCTCTATTTCTAATAATATCCACATTCAGCGCCCACCCTTAAAGAAGTCGATTCATTGCAACACTGTTGAATGATAATAAAACATTATCATCTAACTGATAATAGGACCCTTCTCCACTTCTTATCATCGATTGTATTTTAGTAAACAGATGATGTAACGAAAAGTAACTTATTCAAGGGAAAAGGGAATCTCAAACCCATGTTTATTTGTCATCTGCCGCCTTCCTTCTATTTGCATTACATTATTTATTTACGGATCTTTTACCGTACTAACCTGATAGCAATGACCGGTATTTCATCATCGTAAACACTTTATACAAAAGCATACTTTCGCCGCATCCTATCAGTATGTAGAAGTATGCACACATACAAATGTTGAAACACTTATAGTCTAGGAAATTTTACCATGTCTTTCACGTTGAGTGGATTTGTCAATGTTATCTAATTATGAATTGAGATTCATGTGATTTGATAATTTTCATCTGTATAACTCTCGTAAAGTTACTCCTTTTCCAGGATCAGATACTGAAATATCGCATTCTCTTAATTCAATTCAAATAAATCTCAAGTCAGCAACACTTTTGCAAAACCTCCCATTAAAGCTTCTCTCAATTGCAGGCGAATGTCACTCATTGCAAGGGTCATGTCAACTTATGATATACCGCGTCCCTCTCAGGAGGCTGTTTTGCGACTGGAACCCTGGTATCACGGGTTGTTGACCAGACTGCGATCCGAATGTCTTGTTCGGTCTGAAGGAGATTTCTTGGTGAGTTTTAGAAGTGATTTGTACCCAATTAAGTTATAATTAGTAAATACATCGCGGATACTGCTGTCCTCTAAATATATTAATTAGTGATGTGTATTGATTTTGGATATAGACACTCGTTAAAAGGGACAAGGAGAGGGTCGTATATAATAGAGAGTGACATCAAAATGGCCTTTGGTCAAATACTCTGCACTAATGCATAAATTATATCTATATCTCAGTACTTTTCAATCTTCCTCACTCTATTTGTGCAGAAATCTTTGCGAAATTTCCAATGAAACAATTTAAAGTTTTTAAAGATAATTTCGATAGTTAGCATCGCACTTTATGAGAAATCATTGAATGATACTGATTTTGATTCAAATTTAAGAAGTTTCTGACAGAAAGTTGAAGATCCTAAGAGTCGAATTTCGAAGAAATCCTTAAGATAAACAGAGAAAATTGAAGTTCTGAAGGATAGTTTCACTAATTTTATTCCGTTTCACAGATTCGTGACAGCATTTCATTCAAAGGCGACTTTGTGTTGACAGTATTTTGGAATGGACGTGCCATACATTTTCAAATTAATAAAGGCCCGTCACCGTTCAGTTCAAGCGGTTTTTTTTTTCAGGTTTGCATACATTTGTGGGAGTTTTGAATATTTTTGAGATGCGGGTCATTCATTATATGGGAACAAAATACAATATTGTTTTGTAAATCGCTCGAAGATGACATTTGCATGGAGAATAAATTCATTTTTATACTGTAAGAGCTCACAATGAAAGTTCTGAAAGGATTTCGAGGATAAATCGAATATAAATCTTGAATATAAATCCCATTCTATCCATTAGCTACGGTGCGTAAAAGATTTTACTTGGGTAATACCCGAAATAATGTCATGTATGTTATTTATGAGGGATAATTATTCATTAACCTCTAAGTTCTTAGATCATTTAAACATTGGATTCTTTAAGAAACGACTGAAAAGCTTCGTTACTGAAAAAATGACAAGTCGATGCCACTCACCTTCTCCGGAAATAAAAAGTTAGCAACTGCAATTTTCCGAAACCGTCGCATGCAAGCATCCTACAAATTTCCTTTCTTAATTTCCTTCAAGTTTGAGTTAATTTCACAGACAACTGCTGAAAATGAGGTTTTCCAAGTCCATTAAGCACCAGTACAAATACCTAGCACCAATGGTAATACTTCGGGAATATACCGTCCCATAGGAATAAAGCAAGGTTATGGAAATAATTTGTAAAGCTATGGACGAATAAAATGCTAATTATTTTTAAAGTCAATAGTTATCATTGTCTTTCCAAAATAATTGGCTTGCAGTTCGAGGAAGAGCAATTCGAAAATGTACAAGATTTGATAACATTTTATCAAACACATAACAAACCAATCACTCGGAACAGTGGTTGTATTATAAAGAATCCTGTACCCAATACAACATTCGTGACCCGCAATTTTGAGCCACAACTTGAAATTGATCAAAATTATATGAAAATCCTTCGACCACAAATGCTTAAATTTGGTAAAATTTTGATTTGCTAATAATACCTTAACATTGTACGATAAACTCTCACATATAAATTTCAAGCCAACTATGTACAGTAAATGAATCTTGTATCCGATACGTAACTCTCCCCGAACTCTCTCCAATATCACTCTGATACAAACATTTCTTTTTTCGACAGAGTTTTGGAAGTTTCACAATCCAATAAAAAAATGATCAACCGACGGCGCTTGATGAAAATATTTCAGGTCAAGAGCGATCGTTGACGCAGAAGGTCTTATTAAATGAAACACGAAAACAGTTGCAGTTAAAAGCAGCCCAACCATCGTCACCTAGTTCACCGGTACCATCTTATGGAAAACCGCACCTTCCATTGTCGAATTTACTCAGTCGCCCTTTGCCAAAACCAATTCAGTCACCTGTTGAAGAAGATCAGGATGAGGTTACTCTTAGAATATTATTTTCAAACAGAAAAACCTTTCCTATTTTAAATTAAAATTTTAGATGACAGCTAAACTTTCAAAGAACCCTTAAATCTTAATTTTGACTCTGGAAACATTTCTTTCAAATTTCAGTACTCTGAAGTAGATTATGACGCTATGGAAGAACCAAATGCTCCAGCGTTGATTATTCCAAAAGAGACTTCAGCGATCGGAAGAGGTGAATTCCCTAGTGCATCAACTTCAAGATTGTATCATCTGCAGAATCACAAATTATCGTTGACCTCGTTAAATTCGATGCGCAGCGAACTGATAGCTTCAAACAACGTGTTACCGCCAGCCATATCTGCATCTTCTCTTGACATCAGTAAACTGCATTGGCGTATGCCACGAAGCGACTCATTCCCAGCACTCCCAAAACGAGAAGTATCATTTCCAATTCGAGATAGCGGTTGCGTAGTGGATAATTCTGATTATGATCAGCCAAAGGCATGTATTAACAGTTCCACAAGTACGGCCATCGATTTGCATAACTACCGGTCACCGCTTATTGAGCTCAACAATAAGACACAAACAGAGCAGTTAGAAAGGTTCAAGTGAGTTATCTCAGCTTATCTTCTTATCTTGCTTTCTCCCAATCTACAATCTGTCAAGATTATATTAATTTATCTGACATCGTTGCTATTGCTACCGATGCGGCAGAAACAGAACTTTCATCTGATAGCTCTGACAATAGGATAACATAAATTTCAGTACCTTTCGGTACCATCGAGATGACAATCTCAGACGATTTTTGATTGGTTAAAAGTCAAAAGTTATTGTTTCCTTTGTTTTAGAGAGCTATTGTTAACGAATAAACCGGAAAGTTGTGCGGAACTAATAACTGCTGAGGATTATCGTTTACTGAGGCTTAAACGGAACTTTGAGATACCACTTAAGGTAAGTAGAAAAAACTTGCAGATACCACCAAGGCAAATTTTGCCGACGAATTTTGAGAAGTGTTTATTAAGTATTTATTATTAATTGCTTCTAGCTCAACTACTAGAGTAAACGAAATTTTCAAAAATATGGGTCATTTGTTAGGCTTATCTCCAGTAGTGTCGGTGTTTCGACGTGCAAACTGCTTCTTGTTTCGGCGGTATTCTAATAAATTTATTTGCAATTGAAGTGACAGCGTTAATTTCATTGGTTACCGCTTTTTCTTTTTTGAAGGACTCAGCAAAATTCAAACGATTAAATGGCTTGTCACTTATTTTATTGCCACACGGACAGAATGTGAGAAATGATCTTCTGGAAAGGTTGACCAATTTGAATATTTTGATATCAGGGAAGCGTTCATCACTGTTTTATTCATGTACTATAAAATCATCCCGCAAACCGGGCCGGACACTGCACTATCCATGCTTATTACGATTACGTTATTATTGTGCCATTCTCTTTTCAAACCGAAAGGTAAAATTTCTGCAGTAATTTCTTTCTCAAAAATCTTCGTAGTTGCAGAAATTATTCGTTGCATTATTTATGCATTTTGTCCGTATTGCATCAGGCGCAAAGTGCTCAACGTTGCGCCGTATACAATGCTTGGGTACAGATTGCTCATGCCTTATTTTATCGGTATGGTAATGCATTTTCCTTCCTTACGCTTCTCGATGCATTATGTTCAGATCTTGTAAGTTTTTGATAAGTTTAAAATTAAACCTTAAATTCATTAATCTATTAGCTCCTTTTGCTATATCTATTCTGATCGAAGTTCCTAGCTATTGCCTATAATATCCATAGTGAAAGAGTAAAACCGAATAAGGTCCCATCATCGGAAAATGAGACTTCTGCCTGTCGAAGAGCCACTATGGGAATATATTTTTAGTGGGGAGCATAAATTGAATTTTCACCAATCTCTTATCATTGATTACTTTTCTAGAAACGCATATTGCCATGGGAAGTGATAATTCTTATCGAAACTGCCAGTTAACTTTCTTGAAATGATTGTTTCACAGAGCTGGCAATTTCTGATTGAGGTATTCCTTCCAAAAGAAATGTAAATGGGGGAAGGGGAATTATAAACCGTCCCTATCAAAAGTGAGTACTGAAGCAGGTACAGAGCAGTCCGCAATCTCCTGATATTAAGGAACACCTTCATGCTTAGCTTGTTAAATTATTTATTCTTTTTGGTTCAATTTTTACTTTATTTAATTGTTTCCTAACATAATTAAATAGAATTAGTAAGTGCTGCAGGTAAAATCTGTTCCTGTCGAAGAGTACTCACGGACAATGCAGCAGGAGCTTGAATCGGTGGCGCGGAAATTGCACCGATGTGAGCCACTACCAGTTAATTGTCCACAAATCAACATACCGTTTATGCAACCACTCCTCGTCATTCTCTCAAACAATCCTTCTCCCCTCAGTGCTACGGGCAACGGCATGATGTGGGCAGCGGAAGTTGGTAAGTTTTTCTGAAGTTGCGTAAAATTTATTCCACCATATCCGAACCCACGCTTTCAGCATATCCCATTTTACTCAAACGGTTATGTTTGTTATGTCACGGGAGTTTCATGAAATAAATGGTATCTGTCGAGATATTTCAAGATTATTATGAGGCTTTCTACACACTGCAGCTTCCTCCCTCTAATGGGTCGGTAACTTTGCTCACACATACGTAAGACATTCGTGTGTAAATAATTAAGAAAATGTAAAGGCAATTAGCTTTCACGAATATAGCAGAAAGATTTCAGATAATTTGTGGAAATGGCTTCAAGAAGGTCGACATTGGGTCAAAAAAGCTATCCAGCTTGGTGCAAACAGTTCAGATTTATACAATGAGAAAATATCCTATGGTGATAACTTCCTGAGCACAGAATTTAGTTTGAAACTATTGTTTGGATCGAAAGGCTATTCGATGGATACTAAGAAACGATATGACCATTTAGCTGCAATGACCTATGCTCTAAAAGAAGCGTTATAGTCTGAACTGCTGGTTGAATAGTCATTTTATCAACTGTTCATACTAAATGGACTGATGTTTATGTGTTTTCCAGAAAATATTCTTTAAATATTTTGAAATTTGGGCGGATAATTGGGAAGAGATGAGATTCTCGGCATTAATTCAAGTTTCCAGAGAAATTAACAGCCCGAAAAATTTGGTCATTTTCATGTTGGATACAGCTCCAATGCGTTCTGTAGGATTCATGTGAAATTTTAAAAATTGCTCAAAACATTCGTAAAGTAAATCCTTATGTGTTTGAATAATTCAAATCTAGGCTACCCATTTGCTTCCGTGCTTATTGAATTCGCTCTTCCTCAGTACAGAAAAATGGGAAACATCATAGTTTGAAGAAACGTCATAGTTTCTTTAAGCTATGATGTTTCCATTTTTAATTCGTTCGTCCAAACTTAATTATACAAACTTCATTCATAATTACGGCACGATCTTCTGTACCCTTTAAAACGAATATCGAAGAAGCGGAACAGTGGATTTTGGAATTCTATCAAGCCACAGTTCAATTCCAGGTCATTTAATTGTATTGAAGATACTACTGAGAATAGGAATACGGAAGTGAGGCCATGTTGAAAATAATTTTAGTCCCTTCCGAGATTGCTAACTTTTTATAAGTGGTATGGGATGTATCATCCATCATACAGCCATGAAATTATTCTTATATCATTTCATAAATTTTTATCCTCATTTCATGTCGACATGTGCCTCTAACCTGAAATCAACTATGTGGTGTAGCATGAAGCTTTCCAAGATGAATGAAACTCGCTTCTGCAAAGAGATTCTAGAAGAATCTTACTTTTAATTTTCATTACGCCATAATGTTGAAAATTGTGAGGGATGATGATGGATTGTCCTAAATTTGACTTAAAAGTTATTTACTTTAACATCAGTTTGATAATATCGCCATTTGAAAAATGAATTTCAGAAATAAAGTAAGTTTAGATCTCAAAAGAATTATTTTTTTATTCATTTGATTAGTGGTTGAAAATGTAACATATACAACTGTTGCACTATTAACCTGAGAAGTATACTTTGTACCAACTGTTATAGCAAAAGTTTCGGATAAATATTATTTCGCTCCTATCAGAGATCAATGTCAATCAGTGAGTTCAAATTGTTCTCCTGCACCAACACCACCGTTATCAAGTCTCACTATCAATCCTTTTCGGTTCTCCCGAGATTTTTTTTGGAATTTAATTTGTAGAAACAAATATATTATTGGGATAGATGGCAGGGAGAAACATATTTGATGAGTCATTTCCATATGACATTCTCATCCACTCCGCTCAGAGTTTGCATTTACATTCCTTCAGGGGCGCTTATATACACATGCATTAAGGATTACAATCGATCGGGCGCTGTCGGGGAATATGGTAGGGAGGAAATGAAATGAGAGGAATTTGAAAATCGCAGAGAAGGCGAAGTGGAAGTGAACATTTCGGAACTTCGCTGACGTCAACTTGCATATAACTCTTCGACTGGTTATTAATAGTCCCTCTAGGCTATGGGCTGTTGGCTACAGGCTGTAGGCTATAGGCTGCAAGCTATAAAGACATTGGGATAGATGATGATATAAGGTGGCTTTTAATAATTAACCATAATATGTTGTTGGTTGAAGATGGACAGAAGTTTTGATGGAAATGCGCAACAAATAATAGATATCACTTTGTGAATATAGTGAAGAATGAGAAAGATTGGAGGGGCTGAGAATATTAGGTGAGAGGATGCGGGAAAGCGGTGAGATAACAAGTAGGAGAAACCGTATGATCAAGAGAAGACCCTGACATGTAGATTAAATCTATATGTCAAACAAGTTTGTTTTCCTGGCAGTTCTCCAGAAAAGCAAACTTGTCTGCCATGTTTGCAAACTCACTCTCCTCTTAAATTATAATTTGTTATCAACAAACAACGAAAAAAAATGGAAACTGTGCTTCAATTGGCACTACGAGACTAATCCGGAATTCGATCAAATTCCGGTTAGATTTTCAGATATTCCATACCTAGTGTTCATCCTATAAGTTTGGAATAGAAGTGAAAGAAAAAAAACTGAGAAGAGGGTTATAGGTTGGATGAAGGATGATAGATGATAGGTACTGCTAAGCCAGAGGAAATCTTCATGATAGTCGTCATATCGCCATCTATCGAATGTCCTGATTGCCATTCTCCACTCTCTCGTCTTTCACTATTTTCAATGATGCCTTTGAGTCTCGGCTTCTCTTCTCTCCTCTTAACGTGAATGATGGGAGGAACACATAACATCAAAATATGCAAACAATTCACATACGCACACCGCATACATACGCATATATACATACACAGTTAGGGAAGAGGAGAGGAAATATGCCTTTCCATAAAGGTCCGGACCTAACATGCCTCAAATTTACTATGCGTACAGAGAGAGTAAGAAGCGATCATACCTTCTTTCATTTCCTTTTTGAAAGGAAGGAAATGCGAACGTATGTATCCCACTGCAAAATGATGTATTGCGTTGCTGCATTTCTTCTTCCGACGTCTTTCCCTCCCAGTGACCCCTTACTCTTTTCATCACATCAGCTGTACCATTACAATGAGCGAATAAAACTTAAGACTTTTGGAAAGGCTGAATGAGTTATCTGGAATTGAATTAAACATTAATTCGCCGGTCCTGCAAGAATTTCATCAATAATCTTTCAGTGTTGGTGAAAGAAGTGAACAGAATCGGCAGTTCAATTTGTCACAGATCGTCATCGATAGCATCCTCATCATCGTTAGTTAATCGACAGCCATCCTCCCTCTTTCATTTCAAGGAGAAATGATCCATTTTTAAAAGTACATTCCTCACACTTCCATGCAAATATGCTCTTCGCTAACAACAATGGCGGCAACAGGCAGTTTTAACAACATGAATATAGTAATAATAATGATAACACTAATACTAATACGAATATTGATGTATTTTAGTGAATCTTAAAAATAAATTTAAATTAAAAATCCTTCACGGTTATCCTCTTTCTTTTCATCATCTCACTTTCTTCAAAAAAGTTTCTTGTGATCAAATATTATCAAGGAAAATATAACTCATTGTTGACAGAGAGCCATTGCTAACAGATCCCTATGACAACATAACTCATTTCAATTCCATTTCATTCTCTTCCTCTGTGACAGCACGGTGACTCTTTTTTGTGCGAAAAATTCAATTTTTTAAGTGATTACGTCGAACTTTCAACTCTCCACATTTTTAAGCTGGAAGGAAAGTTATTATATAAACTTTCAATTAAGTTGCCCATCTATCCGTAATGCTCTTTCTTTCCGATGTTTTCTTCAAAAAATTATGCGCTGGAGAAGGGAAAAAATAGGATGAGTCATACATATACTTTCAATTTGTCGTTACATATATCTAATCCGTACGAAACTTTGACAGTTTTTCTGCTGCCTCAAATATCGACTGGTCTGATCGATAAGTGATGTCAACAGCTTGAATATGTGGGAATTTTATTTATTTGCTGAAAAAACGAATTCTCCGCACTCACATTCGTTTGCAAGAAGGACTCTTTCACTTTCCTCTTCTCTATGCTATACTTTTTATTTTTGTTAATAATTTATTTTTCCCAATATTGCATATAACCTTTGTAACATTTTTCAAGTACGAAGTGCTTTTAACAGTTGGAATAAATTAATCAAGGGAGGGAATATTCAGCATTACCAAATGATTCCAGTTTTCCTGAAATCCTAATCCTTTCCTGCTCTATCGTATCAAGATACAAAACATTGCATGTATTAGTGAAATGCAGTTTGATAGCAGTATTTCTGCGCCGCTCATTTCTCCGAATTTCGTTTACTTTGCTTTCCTTGATATACTTTTTTCTTCCATCTGAAGACACTAAATTCACATATGGATTTGTTGTCGTTCAAGTTTCACTATCCTCTTTTCAACTTCTCGCATGGCAAATCTTCTATTCACGGTCGGATCCAAGTCAATCTTATATTCTTTATGTATACCTCAAAGGATTATAGTCATTTGGTATAGCTTTGGACCGGGCAGCAAATCTGTTTCAAAAATGAGCAAATGGCAGAATCATATGTCGTTTCTGTCCAGTCGATGGTATTGATATGGAATTTCTGTAAATTTCTTTCCCATCTCTTTAGTCTATAAAATTATTCATTCGGTCATTGAGTCAGTCACTTACTGAGTTAGGTAATCTCATCCAATCGATCAATCGCCTCTTAATCAATGCAGCTATTGATTTCACCTTCACCTTCTAATAAAAGCGTTATGATCAGGTTATTGCAGAGCTTTCTGATCACTGTTACGGATTTTAATATTGAGACATGGAGCGCACGTGTCGAATAAGCCATCACGTATGATAAAAACTAGATCACATATAACAAAAACTAGACTTTAGTTTTATCAAAAATATTTTTTTTATTTTGCCGCGACTTTTATTCCACGCAACCCTTATACGACGAATTCAGAATATAAAGAAAGCCGTTTCAGTCGTAACCACTGAGCCATTCAATGAATTTATTTCTGATTTCTTTTCGTAAATTTCATTTCTTTTCTGCGAATGCCATTCAGATTTGCGCGACATTGCCTCTCATATGTTAGTTACTCTCTTTCGAAATAATAATTGTCGCAGTGACCAATTATTGTTACTGCCAAATCTATAAAGTTTTGCAAATCTAAGCTGCCAGAAAAATTTGCATAATCTCCACATTTACATGCAAATGCTTCAACTGCTTGCAGTTGAGCTCGCTTTTGTGACTTATTTTCAAATTTCACATTGTGACATAACCCATGATAACATCGGTATGTCATCATCCACCGCAAAAGCGGTACGGGAATGCTCAATGCGCGGTGTATGCGGACACCGTGGCGCTATGCATCAAACATGTCCCTACCACGGACCACCTTTACGAATATCTGTCGAAAAACATCGGCAAACGTTGGCATCGCTTTGCCCTCACCTGTTTCAAGGTTTGATTTTATATGATTAGTTACAGTCATGTTTCTTTCTTTTATTTAAAAGCAGGAAAATGTTCTGTTCAGCTAAATGAGATAGCTAAAAAAATTAAATGAACTAAATTACGAATGTGCTTCAACTCATTTGCTTACTGCCAAAGTAATCCCCGGCGTAGAGAGAATATTATTAAGGAACTCAAAGATTGAATGAATGAATGTCAGCGTTTTACATCTCTACTTTAACATGAAAGTTTGGATTGGGGATCTCGATCGATGTAAGAATTTTTTTTTTTGCGTTGTATACCTCTACTTTAACATGAAAGTTTGGATTGGGGTCTTGATCGATGTAAAGAGGTTTCTCGTCTAGGCTGTACTGAGAAACTTATGACAGTTTCTGAAGATTGGAAACGGAGGAGAAGGAAAGAAAAACATACAAAAACATTTCGTATTAATTGAATTTTTTCATTTAATTCTCTCCTTGTTTGTGTCTCTTCTTCCCAACACTGTTTTAATTTAATTTCACTGCCTGAAATATTAATTTCGTTAACTTCTCTCTTAAAATAAACAAAAGCGCTCAAAGGAATAACCTTTCCAGAAATTGAGCTTAGCCAGAAACAATAAAAGTTAAGCATGGCACTAAAAGTGAAATTCAAGATCGATTCTCCCGGCGAAAAGGAGACGCATATTCGGTTCTCTCCAAAATTTATTTGATGTTGATGCACGACCGAATATTTAACACTTATCACTTAACAATGAAGTTCTCAGAGGACTGAAAACATTTGGAATGAAATCTTAAATTTTTCACCTTATAGTATATCTTCCTTTTCCGGTCATTTATTACGGTAATAGAAAGATTATCGATGTATTTTAAAGTAGCAAACCTTCTAATTAATTCTCATATTTAATTATTCACAAAAATTTTGATCGAAGCATTTGTCCATTTGATATACCAAATGACACAAAAATGCTATCTGTATTGCTTTCTTGTCCTTTCTTCCTTTCGAAAACGACCACTAGTGTATGTTGCAATGGGAATCCGGTAGTAATTTCAGGTTGTAATTTTATGCATCGCTTGATCGTAGAAATAAAAGAATGAGACGATTAAGGAATAAAATGAGAAATTTATTAAAATATCAATACACAATTAGATTTTCATCAAGTTTCATAATCGTTCACAAATGATACAACTTTTTGCAACAGAAATATCCCTATATTACTATATGGAGGTGAACTTTGCTTTTCATCAAAAATATTGAAATTTCTAAAAAGACTGGTGATGATATCAGTTCATAAATTGACAGTGATAAAGACTAATCTGATATCACATTTACTTATTATTGAATTCTTTTTTATGGAGGACAAGGGGTGGTGCAGCTTGCATATCACGCTGATTTAGTAAATACTGCGATAGTGAAGGTGAGCTTTAGCAGAAGAAGTCAAATTTCGTATGGTTGAGATGAGACTCAGTAATATAGGTCAGACTGATTTTATTTATAGATGAATTCTAAAGCAAATGGAGTATCCTGCAGATCTTTGCAAAACATTTTGGAGCCAATGTGAAAACCGATTCTGTTGGAGTGACTGGCTCTTAAGAAAGAGAAAAAAATGCTTTATCTACAATATTTTTTCCCCAATATCTTTCTGTTCTTTTTCTCAAATCTGCCACTTCCTCCTATCCCAGAAATGAGAAGAGAAAGTATCGGGAGGGGAGAGGTTTAAGCTCATTTCCCATTTTTTGCAACTGTTCCACTTTTCTATAATTGCCACGCATGCTTATACATATATATATATGTGTGTGCCTGTTTGTCAATGAATTGTTTGAGTGTGACATTACATGACAAGTTTTGGCTTTTCTATTGCTTCCTTTATTGTTTCTATTCTCTTTTATTCATAGTCCAGCGAGTAATCAGATGGAAGCCCGCGGGACGAATCTGATCGATTCTAATAGTTCCAAGAGTAGAATAAACTGCAGGATTACAGAATTATTGTATCCTTTCGAGGAATAGGTAGATACTGACTGCAATTATCAGCAAGCAAATTAATGGATCAAATAGCTATAACCGTAAAGGTTAAAAATAATGCCGCCGTAATTTGTGAGTGAGTTGATGAAAGGAGTTTGTAAATCAGTTTTTATTGCAATCTATCTTCAATCTCTCGGGTCATTTCATCCATCTTTGTTCCCAATCAACGCTTAAACGACACCTGAATAGAGCCAGAAAGATATGCATCGTTTAATCAATTAATAGAAAGGACCAAAGGGCTACTGTTGGAGAATACGGAAGAAGAACGAAGGGAATGAGTCAGACATAAACTTAGCAACATTTTGAAACCGTAATAAATTGAAATTTTGAAAGGAACCACTGATTTGTGAGTGTACACCAGTTGCCGAACATAATAATGTTTTTGGTCGAAATGGAAAAAGTCATTAGGGTCAAACTGGATTTTGGATTTTCTATTTATTCATCATCAGGTGAGTTCAATGAGACTGAGGCATTTAATAAATCTATAAATGTATCTATAAACTGTATCTATAAACTCGCTAGATAAATTATTTTCAGGAGGCAATGAAGAATTCTGCTGTGATGAAAAGCAGGTAGCACTGTTGGATGCACAAATGACACTGCCGCGACAGTTCCTCGCGCGATGTCCAAGTTGCTTGATGAATTTTGTACAGCTATGGTGTGACTTCACGTGTTCACCAAACCAGGCGAATTTTGTACGGGTCATTTCGTCTACCAATGATTTATATCTCGTGTAAGCGTATCGCAAGTTCTTCATTGTTTCCACCGTATAAATGAGCCTAAAAATGCCAACTGGAAGGTCATCAGTCAATCAAAATGGCCATCCCAAGGCGTTCATTACTCCTGAAGCTTCTTTTTCATAAGGTACTTTTTTGCGGCTTGCGAACGGAATTCTCTGTCAAAAGTGAAATTGAAGAAGTCGAATTCTATTGAAATCAGTTTCGCTTTTCTTTTGCAAGCAGTTCCCTGACTAGCACTGAGTTGCCGGTACCGGTTGGATGTTCAGTTTTTTTTGGTTTGCAGGGAAAACAAAACGCAGTACGTCACAGAAGTTGCATACTATGTACGAGACAGTTACGCAGATGGATTATTTCGATCATGCAAAGATGTTAGTTAATTTCGTGACATTTAATTTAAAATAAATCGATTGTGCCTACTTTTTGGAAGGCTGTCATGGATAAGCTCTTTTGATCTCATTGAAATTGAGACAGACGTATGAATTCAACGAAGTTGTTATCACTCATTATTTATGTCACCAGTTATTGGCAATTTCGATCGTCGTCGAAAAAAGGCATCCTTAGGAAATCCCGGTGAATATGGATAAGATTATTATTTGTCAGTAACTGAAAGAGATAATGAAAGGTGCTATTTCACAATTGTCTTGCATACTGTAATAAATTGAAGTTGCATCAAAGTTGTTTATAATGGGGCGTGATCGCATTCACTTATCTAAGTACCATTCAATACTGCTAGTAGTATATTAGAGCTTTATAGGTTCGAGCAATTGGAACGGACTATGCGCTTAGTTTTATGTGCGGCGTCAGCATTACCGAGTGTGACATATCCCGATGGTTCACTTTTCTGGGTACCTACAACGAGGACATTGGCGTACCTTTCTATATTACTTTCATTCCTACTCCTCCCTCAAAACCCATACAAGAAGAACAAGTGAACGTTTCAAATGCCACAGCATTTGATATTAATCCACCTACCACACGGGTATTTCTCTGTTCGGAAGCAGCTCATTCTAATGGCTCGCCATGTTCCTGCCATGATTGTCCTGAATCCTGCATTGCCGAATCACCTTTCCCTTTTATCGCACAGGTGAGCATTCCTTCTGTATGCTTCTATTCTCAATAAACATCACTTGCCAATTCATGTCAACAATAGTTGTTGCGCTTTTTTTTCGGACTTTGTGAGATTCTAACCAACTTATTGCTATCATTATTGAAATGTAATTATCTATTGAAGCTTTTAGCTAACTGTTGACATGAACAGATTTTTAAGTTCTTCTGCCAGTTCTAAGGAGCGGTTGGTCTAATGTATTGTCATGCGATATAGCTGCAGCGGAAAATTTCAAAGAAAATTATGAGCAATTTATTTGCAGTTCTCTTGCTCACAAAATTTCCCCACGGCATAATTTTCGTTCATTTCACTTACATTCCTTTCATTCACATTGCCTATAGAAGACTAAGTTTAATGGAAATGCAAAAAACATCCGAGAAAGTTGTAAGAAAACTTCTAGTTTAGGCCTTTATTAATAAAAGTTAAGACCTTCATCGGCAACTCTATTATCTCAATTTATGCTGTTTAATTTCAGGAAGAATGTCAGATCGCATCCTTTGATTGTATGCTAATTTTATCACTTTTTGGATTTGGTGGACTATGCTTCGCGGTGCTGTTCTTCGCGATAATGCACTATAGTTTGAAAAGAAGCCAGAATGGCGACTTGAGTGATTTTAAACCAGCCGGTGGAACCTTAGATGATACTGATTTAGGTACAATTGATACATTAGGATCATGGATCGAGTCGCAGCTTGAATTGGTTTGCGCTCATTATGGACAGGTATTAATGGCAAATTCCGTCAACATTACAACCAATAAAGTGACGGGTCACATTACAAAATTAGTTTATCCGGAAAAGTTGCTCCCTTCCTTTAACAATGAATCTATGTTAAATATTTTGTCGATGAAAACTGATTTAAATATTAAAAAGTTTAAATTGCTCGTCTCTCTTCAGCTATGCGTTAAGCATCCATTAGCGGTGTTTATGTTTGGCACGCTTGTTGCGGTACTTTGCTCAAGCGGTATGCTTTTCGTCCGTTTCACCACCGATCCGGTAGAACTCTGGTCATCCCGGACTAGTAGAGCACGTGCCGAGAAATACTTTTTCGATAACGAATTCGGGTTCATTTATTATGTTTCAATTTTTCCGGAACGATTTTAATACTAATCTGATCATTTCATTCAATACTTCCCATATTTTCATTCTATCTAGAAAGAAAATCATTTACTTTTTGATCAGGAAGTCATTTCACCTTACATGGATTCCAACCACAATTTCTGTTTTCAAAAAATTAATTGCTATATAAAGGAAAAGGTTACAGACCATTTTATCGCATGGAACAGTTGATTATGTACCCACGAGATCAGTCATTCTGGCCACATGAAAATCAGTCAGACATATTCGAACTTGGTTTCTATGGCCCAGCACTACGAAAAACATTCCTTCAAGAAGTTCTTTCTTGCTCTTTTTTTCACAACATTCTAAGCATTAAGTTGTATTTACGCTCTTCAGATATGATTAAAATTCGGTTAGTGACTACCTTCCGGGTATTATAGGTAGCAAAGCTGCAGGAAGCGGTCACAGGTTTGATAGCACTAACAGAGGACGGCACTCAGGTGACACTCACTGATGTGTGCTTTAAACCAATGACACCTGATAATCAAAATTGTGCAATCATGACTATCCTCAATTATTTTCAGGTTGGATTTCGATTTTATTCCAGCCAACTAACTTTCTTGTTAACTGTAATGAATTTATCAAAATTTTATTGAATTTTCCATAGTATCGTTGTTTGCCCTACACATTGTTTTATTCAAAAATCAATCCTTCTGCCTACACTTAACGAAGATCTAAATTTAATGATTTATGCTAAATACGTGTACAAGAAATATGAGTAATTTTTGAAAATTTAATGAACGTTTGGAAATGCATATTAGTGAAGCTTCATTTAGATGAAATTATTTCAGCTTCAATAATTTTCATCCATATTTCCAAACTTTTATTAAATTTTCAAAAATTATTCACATTTCGTGGAAAGATGTAGAGAAATATTCTGTGCTTGAATATATATCAAATTTATACTTCAAAAGGCAGTTTTTTTGCAGAACAACATGACACTTCTAAATCGAACGAGCGTGGATGAATGGAGTGGGTCGCAATTCGACTATCTGGATCATATCATGACCTGTGCCCAGTAAGTGTATTGCAATTCACTATTGCTCATATTCAAGCAGAAAATAGTTTTGGAATTAGTAGCAACTAGAATAAGAAAGAGTGTTAATTTAGGAACCCGTATCAAACTATCACTCGGCTTGGCATCCCTTGCTTATCTGCATTTGGTGTACCCATCCAACCGTACGTAGTATTGGGTGAATTCAACAGCAGTAATCAGTGGGACAGTGCAAGAGGTATTATTGTCACTATTCTACTCAACAATCATATCACCGCTGTGGAAAATAAATTTGCCGCTGCATGGGAAAAAGTGTTAGTATTTCAATTTTTATCAAATTGATATTATTCATCTACAGCTATTTATCAAATTGATATTATTCATCTACAAAAAATACAATAAATAAGATTTGCGATTCACTTTGTTTAAACTCAAATTTGAATTTATGAATAGCTGTTGAAATGATAAAAATCCAAATTATATCACTATTTTTTTTCAGATTTGCCCTTTATCTTCGAAATATTTCGCATCGAAACTACGCGATATCATTTATGGCCGAACGTTCCATTCAGGTTTGCTCTATGAGTGCTTCATATAAATGCTTCCGCATCGATTTCATTAATTTCTTTTTATTCAGCCAACAATCCATTTAAATTGTTCCTTCCTGAACTCATTTAAGAACTTAAAAGGATGAAATTAATATCATCAATTATACAGGATGAAATAGATCGAGAAAGTCAATCGGATGTCTTCACTATACTTATCAGCTATATCTTCATGTTTGCCTATGTCGCATTCGCGCTAGGACAGTATCAGGTCAGTACACTATTCCTTCAGTTGCGACAAACTGCTTTAATAAGAGCAGGTGTTCACTCTTCTTTAGAGTTTAGGCAGCCTTATGCTAAAATTCTTCCATCCCCTTTTATTGTCTGAGATAAGGCTAAATATCATCATATCTTCTCAATCAGGTAACTGGAAACAATTTGGCCACTTTACTTGTCCATTCGAAGATAATGCTTGGTGTTGCGGGTGTTATGATTGTCGCCTTATCAGTTACATCATCCATTGGCTTGTATGCATTCTATGGCATTCCTGCAACGACGATTGTTCTGGAAGTGCAGCCATTTCTAGTACTCGCTGTAGGCGTCGACAACATCTTTATTTTTGTACACGCCTATCAGGTATTATTCACCTTTCAATTCATCTAGTTTTTTCTTGTTATGCACTCAAAGTTACCCAACTAAATGCATCAAACCTCGATTAACTTTTCAACCGCTTTAAGTGTTTCATCCTAACCTATTCCTGTAACGCTCTCTATACAGTTCCTGATAAACTTACCATGGAATGAGTCTGTTAGGCATTCCCTTTACATCTCACATAGTTAATGTAATTTAATTTTAATCTCTTCCTCTGGTTCGTTGCACTCGGAATCAATAACTTTATTTTCCCCAAGCAACGACAATCAAAGTTTTATCCACAGCAGACTCCCAGTTACGTTATTGACATCCACAAAAAGGAATGGATAATACAATGGCATCTTTGAAACCCTTTTGATGAATGGGAAAGTGAAGACGAGAAGGGACCACTTCATCTGCCAGTATCTAAGCTTATAGAGAGCTATACGTTTATTAGTTATGCAGTTCCAGTGATATTTCATGGATGAATTAATTGTCTACATTGTCCATAACTTTTAATTCAAGCATTCTGCCCCGTAAAAATTTAACTTTTTTGCCTTGTGAATCTTTCAGCGAGCCGAAGAACCTCTAACAGAGCCATTGCATCTGCGGATTTCACGTATAAGCGGTGAAGTGATACCATCCATGCTTCTGTCCTCGCTATCCGAATGCTTGTGTTTCTTCGTTGGAGCGCTATCCTCCATGCCTGCTGTTAAGGTAACCTTTCAATAAATTTCATGTTCTTCAAAAAAAAAATTCCCGGATCACTTCCACTCGTCACCGTTCTTGAATTTTTACCCTTTATCGAACAAGTGATTCATGATTCGTCTAAATGGAAATGAAGGAAGGTGTAGTACGCAACCTTTCATCGTTTTTATGATTTGCTTTCTAAGCCAGTGGGAGATATCTAAACGATGCATCAGGCAAAGGTCGTTGTTGAAGAAAGGTTACAGCGATACTTCTTCCAAGTCCTAAACAGTGCAGATTCTTTTCTATTTGCAACATTTTTGCTTCAATTTTTTTAGATAAAATTTTATCATTTTTATTTTGAAGTTTGCTGATTTTCATGTACATTTTTTATTCAGGTGTTTTCGTTATATGCAGCTTTAGCGTTGTTTTTCAATTTTTTCCTACAAATAACCTGTTTCCTTCCAATATTCATCCTTGATGTTCGACGCGAAGAGGTAGTTTTATTTCATTTCATTAAAATCTCTTCCAACTTCACTAGCTGCCAGTTTCGCTTCTCTTTTGCAGTCCGCCAACAGTTTCTATTTTGGTAACTTATCACATCGAAATGTCTGTATTGTTGATGACTATTGTCTCTTTGCAGTATTGTCTCTTCCTCATCCTTCGATCTTTTACACCCTACCATTTTCATTATTATGAATTTGCTGAGAATCTTGCGAATATTTAGAATGGCAGACCAGAAGTATGTTGCTGCCGTCGGATAACAACCGTAGAAAGCGTTAACAATGATGGCTATATGCTGTTCCTATTCAGTAACTACTACGCTCCATTTCTGTTATCGAAATATATTCGAATCATTGTGGTGAGAATAATGTGATACTGAAATTTTCGAGAAATTTCAATAAAACGTGAAGTGAATTTCTACAAAGAAGAATCTTTGGTTCTTTTTTGCATGTTGTATGGTACGCAGTTAGATTATAACGCTTGTTTGACGGATTCACTTGTAGCCAGATTTTTACAACGAAAGATAATTATAGATATTTTTGTTTGCTGGCTGGTTGAGTAGTTCGTTCGCAGTTATGGGCAACATTCCGCTTGGTTTTGATCAAAAGATGGCAGTTCCTGAGGTATCCATTTATTTCTTCATTTGTAAGACAGGTAGAAGACATTACTTTACAATTCTTAGATTTTATTCTTATGCTTGGGGGCTCTGTTTCGGAACATAAGACTGGAATATTTGTACCTCGTGCAGGTGATTAGCTTTTTTTTATTCCACCATTTCTGCTTTTGCATCACCTTTCTCTCTTTTCTTTATTACCTATTCCTTTTCCATCTCTCTTCCAACCGATTTAATAATATGAAGGACCAATGTCTCCAAAAGCAACCAAACTAATGACAAATCTTAACTCGTTCCGGCAAACCCTTTGATCAATTCTGAAGAAGATTGAAACATCCCAAAGGACTGGAGTAATTCATTCTTTTTCCTATCATTGAATAGAAAAAGGAATGACTGTCACACTGAAAAGAATTATAATTCAGTAAAGAAGAAAAAATATTTTTATCGATAGAAGGTCTCAGTTAATTTATCCTTAATTTCAATTTGTTTTTGTGACGCAGTTAGAATCTCGTTACCTTCTCCTGCGATGCATTCTGAAGGTCCAAGAAACAAATAGTCCTCGTTTTTCATCATTTCTCAAATTCTATTTTCTTTTGCCTAATAAAGAAGAAGACACTGATGAAATTGCAAAATTTTCAACTTTCCATTCTGGGATACCCGGTGGCGTGAAACAAGAGTAGAGAGAATTATTATTAAAACGGAAAAGTCTTAGCTTCCAAGTAAACCCGCAAGTACTGTACAGTATAAAAAGTATTTCACTCATTTCCATTCATTTAAATTATCCTTTTACAGGACTCATATGTTTTTTCTTATTTCAAATCGATGGATCGATTTCTCTCAGTCGGTCCACCAGTGTATTTTGTCATCAAAGGTGATATAGAATTCAGTGACCCTTATGAACATAATAAAATTTGCTCTGGTGCCGGTTGTGCCACCGATTCATTGGGTGCTCAAATTGCCCATGCGGCACGATGGTCAAATAGGTGCAACAATTTGTATATTTTTATTTTTTAATTGAATTGTTGTTGAAAGTTATTTAAATATTTAGTTGCTAGTATGGTTCTCTGAAGATTGGTGCGAGATAAAATGGTAGTCCTTATTTTCACTGTTAGTATATTTAAACTACTTCTCTCACAGCAACTTATAAATTATTTCTTTGCATTCACAATGACGAATTAAGAGAATTAAGAAGTCGGGATGTATTGGATGAGTGAGTTTGTTTTTTTCCTTTTCAAAATTTTGATGCTTTCACTAATTTACATGCTGTTGGATGAATATAATATTTATTATAGGTCTTATATAGCTTATCCGGCAATGAATTGGCTCGACGATTACTTTGACTGGTTACAACCCTTGGGTGATCCACCATGTTGTCGGATGTTCCTTAATGAAACGTTTTGCTCTTCCACTGGTAACATTCCGTCATTCATCGAATCCATAATTCGTGATTGCTATGAAAAATATATTTCATTTTAAGCGTTTCATTGCTGCCATCAGATGATCTCCATATTACAAGAATTTCCCATTCAATTTTTGAATTTCAGACTTCAAATTGGTTCAGTTTCAGAGAATTCAGAAAATTGCACTCCATGTAACGTGGAATTTCTCAATGGTAGGCCTCGCTCAGATCTGTTTTACAACCATCTCACGCACTTCTTTTCTAATAATCCAAGTACCAAATGTGCCAAAGGGTAATTTTTCTCGTTTGTTTTTCAAGCAATACAGAAGTGCATTATGAAAGGCTGACTGCCATATATTTGTATTCCTGGGGGTCAATTTTTTTTGTACTAAAACTTCCAAAGCGGTGATTTTTTCCTTGGAAAACTATATGGTGCTGACTTCTTATGGAACTGACGTTTTTACTTTCTACTCAATGTGTGTTTTTGTTTGCAGAGGTCATGCAGCATACGGTTCGGCCGTTAAATTATCCAAGCGTGGCCGGATCTTATCGTCGCATTTCATGACTTATCATACGGTATTGAAAACTTCTTCAGACTTCATAAATGCCATGACTAGTGCTCGCCGTATTGCTGCCAATATTACAACTATGTTAAACAAAGACAGGGATGGACGATGTCCTATAGAAGTATTCCCGTACAGGTTATTTTTAACCGATAACCAATCGTTGAATGTAAGAAAAAGAAAGTACCGCTGTAGCTGTAGAAATTGAATTGTGCCATTAGCCGAATGGTATCAATGTCCCCTTTAGTGTTTCATAGCACTCAGTCATTTATACTATCAAAAATCTAAATCTTAAAATAATACAATATTTACCTTTTACCAGCAACATCAGTCAATTTAAATATAAAATTTCGCATTATTGCGAGGAAGGAAATTTACGATGGCCTAGTGACCTCCCACATTCTTACGCATGGAATCTTGTTTGCAGCATATTTTACGTTTTCTATGAACAATATATGACAATAGTAATAGATGCGTGTATCCAACTGGCATTATCCTTAATAGCCATATTTGCGGTCACAACAGTACTTCTGGGCCTTGATCCATGGTCAGCATTTATCATTGATCTTACAATAAGTTGTGTTCTGTTCAACTTAATTGGCCTCATGTATTGGTGGAGTATTGATTTCAATGCTGTTTCTGTTGTCAACCTCGTCATGGTGAGGTTTTTAGCAATTTTTCGTTGTTTCAAATTGCTAAAGATTTTTGAAATTTCAGTTTTTCAAAATTTTCAATTTGTCTTATTTACAGACGGTGGGAATATCAGTGGAATTTTGTGCGCACATCGTTCGATCATTTGCGTTAAGTGTTCATCGGGATCGCCTGATGCGTGCCCGGCATTCTCTCGCAAGTATGGGATCATCGGTTCGTTGCTTCATTTAAATTTCGGACTGATTTTGAAAATTTTGGTATAAATTGCTCCAGAGCCGAAAAATAAACTTTTCATCATTTGCAGGTTCTTTCCGGCATAACACTGACAAAGTTTGGTGGGATATTAGTTCTCGCATTTGCACATTCCCAAATTTTCAAAGTATTTTACTTCCGTATGTTCCTTGGCATTGTACTTATTGGAGCAGCACACGGTCTCATATTTCTACCCGTTTTACTCAGTTACATCGGTAAGTCATATTTTTCTCTAGAGCTAACAGCTCGTAACCATCATAAAAAAGTATGTCATTGAAGTATGTGACATTTATTGATCCATCTTTACAGCGCAAGCATTTGACCGACTAAGATTTACTGGATATGCAGTAAGAGAAGTGAATTTTTCAGCTGATGGTATTCTTCCCTATCTTAATCACTTTTCTGAGCTTTACTCAAATCAAAAATTTATAGGACCTCCGATGAACAAGCGCAAGCTGATCATGAAGGCACGGTCGGAAAGTTGCTGTATAAATGATTGCGGTGGTACAGTAATGAAAACATGCCTAACAAAACACTGTGATCCTTCACCACCTACGGATGTCTTTTAGACAAGCTCATTTTTAATTTCCTTGCTAATGCAACATTCCTTTCAATCTCTTTCTTTCTTTTATTTTCTAGGCTTTGTTTCAACTTCTCTCCTTCCTTTCCCATCTTCATGTCGCCTAAAACCTGCAGAAGAAGAAGTGAAGTAAGGTGAGTTGGAAATTTCATGTTCCTAAATATCTTTTATTTCATACCAACCATATTTCTGCTGTATTGATAAAGTGTAAAGTGCAGTAATAAGTTTTATATTAATTTAACAATTCGCGTCATCTAATTGTTTCATCTTGAGTGTCGTGCCTCATATCATATCAATTTTAAATTATTCTTTTTTTGGATTCACTATCCTTTAATTTCTTTTATTCAAAGGGAAGTACATTTTCCGACAGTTGTCTATTTCTGAGAGCATTGGAGGCATTCTAACATAAGTTTCTGAGCAATTTCTGCATTCCTATCTACACATAATACACGCTAAGGTATTTTAAAAGTGAAGAAGTTGAATTTGAATTATAATAAATTCTGTTGAAGTGTTCATTCTGAATGATACATCAGCTTTATGTTATATTTGAACCAAAACAGCTGACAGTCTTTCTCATTGAACTTCTCTGGATTTGTTTGGTGTATGAATATCTCATTTTTGATAACTAATAACTTAATCAAAATGATACAATTATCACTGGAAATTGCCGTTTAGAAAGCGCCCCACAATGACCATATACATTGGAAAATTCCAAAATCGATCATTTTAGAGAGAAAAAAAAGCTTTCTCAGCAAAATCTGATGGAATCCGGGATAATATTGGAGTGTCCTTATACACAATTCAGTAGTTGAGAAATATTTCATATTGTAATTAATTGTAAGCTACCGATCGTCATCCAATCGTAGCTTTAACGGATTCGTTCATCCGTTATCATCGTCTGAGTTCACTGCTATCTAAAAAGGTCGCGAACAATAATAAATTTGTCCGAATGGAAAGAACGCTGATCTCATACTTTTCTATGATCAGGACGAAATAGGAAGCACTGAGGCAAATTAGGAAAATATTGAGAGAGGAAATTAAAAACACAAACAAAAATGATCATCAGTTGCTTGCAAAGTTATGTCCATTATTCGCTCAATTAACGAAGTGATTCATCCAGGGGAAGGAGATTTGACCTTCAGGGACGAGAATGTCAAGAGTCCGTTATGGGTGGCAACATCGAATAGTGTGCATGTATGTGTGTGTGTGTGTGTGTGTGTGTGTGTGCACTACACAAGAAGACAATACGAAGAGGAAGAATCGTATCGTCGTTCCCATTTAAGGAATTCCTTTCTAACCAACTAATTTCTCCTTTCGTACCGCCTATGGATTCAAATATTCAGAAGTATGTATGTTCATGCGGCTGGCTCTACAACCGTGTATTTTCCTATATTGACGTGTATCTTTCTGTCATTATTTAAATCTAATGAAGTAGATCCAGTTCATTATTAATACTTCCTAAAATCTTTCTCTTCATAACAAGTCACTTAAGTGCTGTTACTCATTGTAAATAAAAATGTTGAAAATGAATTTCCCGTGCATTATTCCTATTTGATTATAAGATTTCTTCTTTCAAAGAAATCTCCGTAAGTAGGAATGAATTATTGGCCTCAATATAGAAACATATGTTAACATTAATATTAAATGCACTGCTCGGTGTCAATATAAAAAGCTAAGCTGACATATTCCTCCATACATGTAAATATTTATAGTAGCATATCATATTCATAAAGCAGAAGAACGTATTTTTTTACAGATATCTTTCAGAACCGCTTCTGAACACGACAGCAAACTATTCCAATTAATTTCAAATTCTACTGGATTTATTGTTCTAATCCAATCAAATGTATTGAACTAAAGCGATGATTCAGTTGAGTAAGGTCTGATAACATCTGACTTTATCATAATGAAGGAGTAATACAAGTTACTTTCCACAACCTTATTTCCGTTAACTCTAATGTCTTGTATGCAATCAGAAATAGTGTTCGGCAATTCTCTTTCAGGGTGACTTTTTATGGCTCGAATCGATTGCAAAAAGTCGATTCATTTGCCCGATCGGAGCACGAGTTCTAGAAGTTAAGGAAGATAAGTTCAGAGTAGTCGATGACTTTGGCCAGGTAGTTCTCTACCTCTCACTTCTATCTAACAGTGTTATTATTTTCTCAATGCTGCGACCTAATATTAAAACAGAAGAAGTTTCATGACTGTCTTTCATGTCATCGAATAAGACGAAATCAATGATAACCTGTGAGTCTCTCCTCTCTGTCCTGTCGTCGTCATGACCGTTGAAACTAAATATTGTTGGAAATTTCTATCTAGAGCCTACTTCCATATAAAGAAGGATCATCGGAGCTATCCAGCAATTAATAACCCTATTATCTCACGCATATTTACAGGAGCAATGGTTACCAATTAACAATCCTTATCGCGTAATGCATGCAACTTCTGTGCAAGGCATTGAAGATATGATCAGTTTGAACGATTTGCACGACGCTGCGCTGCTTCGAAACCTTTTCGTGCGCTACAATAACAAACTCATCTACGTAAGTTGATGAAATCAGCAATGGAATATTTTGATAAATTAGTCTAAATCCATCAACGAACATTACATTATCATTATTGGCGTAGTGATAATAATACTTTTGTACTAAGAGAAATGTGGAAGGAAAATAATACTAAGTTGCACTGCTGTGAAATATATATTAATACACAATACCAGAAAATAAGAAATAGATCTACTTTGCATTCATTGTATCACTCTGAAATTCTACTACAGAAGGTTCTCCCTTCTTTTATTTCTCTCCAAAAATTCACTTCTATATCTCCATCTTTTTTAATGTAGTGCTACTCCTTTGCGTTTGAATTGAAATTCGAACGATTAGACTAAAATGCATTAAACATAAAACGCGCAGTAATAGAAACTGGGTAAGACTAATAAGTGTTAATCAGGTGGACAGCTCGGATTGGCATGTAGTATGGGTGGTTGTAATAGCCATTTCGTCTTTCTGTTTCTTTTTCTTCTTATCGTGCATTCTCTCAATATCAAGTCGTTCGTCACTTTTACATCCAAGGTCAGTGACCGAGCAAAAGGACACCGAGATCACCGGCCCAAACATCTAGTAGGCTATATGAGCAATGATAAAAAATGATTCACTTCCATCATTCTAGATATCAGTGATTTTTCCCAATGATGATACATGTGTGATAGAGGAGAAACTTTCGATAGCGATAATAAAAATAAAAAATAAAAATTTTCGACGATTAAGGACATTGTTCTATTGATTTCGATGACCTTTGGACTTGTAATCTAAACAATAAATTTTGAAAGTCCTGATCCGGAAGGCTACTGGTTATGAGATAGCTGATAAACATCCTCCTTCTTTTTATTTTTATTTCCTTTTATTTCTGACGCTTTGAAAATATCTCACTAATTTCTAGATCTGAACAGCTGTCTTAGATTTTTTGTCTTAAGATCTAACAGACAATATGGCTCAGGCGTTTGACCATATGAAGAAGCTTTTGATGAAAAATTGCATATAACACAAGATAAAATGTTAGGAACAAATTATACAAAAGGAAAAATTAAGGAATTGCCAAACAACAACAAATGGCAAGAATTTGCCATAGGCATCATCGATCAGGTAGATTGAAATTAAGAAATAGAACACTCGAATTAGATATATAACAGGATTGGGAAAAAGCTACTAATCATAAAAGATAATGTAAAGTGAAAGTAAAAACTGAAATACTTTTGTTGTGAATTTTTTGATAAGAGATTTGTATTGAATGATACAGTGGAATATTTTCAAAAAGTCTTTATTTATGTTTTTCTAGCACTCAAAAATCTTTATTTATGTTTTCTTAGGAGTCAAAAATTAAGGAGAATATAATGTTTATCATTTTATGATAATTTCGCTTTCTGACATCTTTAGTCTGCAGAATGTTGAATAGTAAGAAACGTGATAGTTATGGAAAGAAATGATCAAAATTGGTTGATACTGCATGATGAAGGAGAGAGAGAGAGAGAAGTATTTGTTTCAGTGAGGCAAGAGTATTTGTTTAACACTGAAGGATCTCGGGATGTGCTCGGAGATCTTGCAGATCCTGCAATACTCAATATTGAAGTTTCAAGCATTTGCGCATACATGCAAATAACGTTAAATAGGAAGAGATGAAAAATTGTGCTATTTTTATTTAAAAACAAATCTTAAAATTTCAGTTTATTGCTATAATTGAGTAGGTTCATTCATTTAGAAGCTGATTTTACAGACTTACGTCGGTTCCGTGCTAATAGCAGTAAATCCAAATACGCCTTTACCAATTTATTCAATCGAGCAAATTCGGTTATACCAAAATCGTCGAATCGGTGAGCTACCACCTCATATCTTCGCGATCGCAAACTCTGCCTACTGCAATATGAAATCAAATAATCGGGATCAGTGTATCTTTATTAGGTTAGTTAAGACAAAAGCTTCTTTCTACTCATATTTTGATTTAAAATTGATCAGGCTTTGAATTTTAAGAAAAATCGAAGGAATTGCAATACCAACTTGATTACCTGTATTTTAAATGCAATCTAATTGGTTTGGTCAATCTCCTGAGTATTTGACAATATAATTGAGTGGTAAAGTATAGCATACCAACAATGTTTAACACAAATTTTGAAACCAAAATTTATTTCTGTTAGCTACTACTCATTTCAGCGGAGAATCAGGTTCAGGCAAAACAGAATCTGCAAAATTGGTCATCCAATTTCTGGCAACTATATCTGGTCAACATTCCTGGATTGAGCAACAAGTTTTGGAAGCAAATCCAATCATGGAAGGTCTACTTTACAGTTTGTAGATATTAACTATATGAAGTTTCCGAAGATGATTTTAATCAATTCATTCATATCAAGATCTGCACAAGACGGTTTCCAGCAGAATTCACCTTGGGTCAATAGATTTTATAACAAATTTGCAGGAAAATTTTTTTCCTTCTTCCGCATCAGTTCTGGAAAGCGCAGAATCATTTGTTTGTCTATTCCTATTCCTGACGTGTATAGTCGTTGTTGGTTAATTAATAGTTCTTTCACAACCAATCTAGTTCTGTAACTGAGAAATAGTTAAGTGAAATGCCGCAGTCATTCTGCCTTCGAGATTTCGCTACATTTTGCTATTCGCTAAACTAAATTTAATATTTCAATAGAAACAATTTACAGCATTTGGTAATGCAAAAACTATACGGAACGACAATTCGTCACGCTTTGGACGTAATATCGATTTGTACTTTACGAGCGACGGCGCAATCGAAGGTGCCAGATTTGAGCATTATTTGCTGGAAAAATCTCGAATTCTCTCACAAGCGTCAGATGAACGGAATTATCATATATTTTATTGTCTTTTTGCCGGCTTAACTGAATCGGAGAAACATGAACTATCACTAAGTAACGTGAAGGATTTCTATTACTTGAATCAGGTAAGATCATCCGTATCTGTTGCTTATCAGATTTTAAATCATCACTCGGCCGATTTTCTTGCGTTATAAAATGATATTGTGTGTGGTTGTTGAAGGGTGGTGCAGTAGAAATAGAAGGCCGAAATGATGCAGCCGATCTGGCCGAAATCCGTTCTTCCATGAAAGTCTTAATGTTCAAAGACTCCGAAATTTGGTCCATTTTTAAAATTCTTGCCGCAATACTACATACTGGGAACATCAAATATATCGGTAAGTCGACTGTATGCATTGACAGCTACGAAATGGCTGTTCTAATAGAAACTACCAAATCAAAATTGATGAGCGCCCAAAATTCGTTACTTAGACTTTAGATTTCGATAAATTACCCTTGTCACGAAAATAGTACAAGTTAATTTCATTTTCAGTCACAACAATGGACGATATAGAAACCGTGGAAATCAGAGATACAGATGAAATCGAAAGAGTTGCTAATCTTCTTTTAGTATGTTTTTCTTAAAGTAAACGCATGAGGAATACATTGATCCATTCCATTTTTTGTTCAAGAAAAAAATTCTTAAAGAATTTATCTGGCAATAGTAAGGTTCAGCTGCAGTATATTGAACACGTCAATAGCTCCTTTTGATATTCTGTGTGCTGAGGAAAAGTAAATGCAACTTTATCATAGCTAAACCACAGATTCAAATAATTCCAAGAAATTGATGAATTTTGAAGGTAGAAAAGCAGTCATTGGTGAAGGCTTTGACACGTCGCAATTTACTGATTGGAGTGGAACGGGTTGTATCATATCTGAGTGCTGAACAAATTCTTAATGTACGTGATGTCTTCGTCAAAGCAGTCTATCATCGACTTTTCCTTCACATTATCGAAAAGATCAATGAGGCTATGAATGGGTAATTCATTTCCTTATTTCGTTTCACTCAATTGGCTACAGTTTTTTAATGGATAAATTTTATTGTCTATCAATTGAAATCTACCCGAACTGAACTGTCCTAGAAAGATCGAATGAGCCATCGTCTTTGCCACTTTACTGAATGAACAAGCTGTCGTACGAAAGATCTTTTTAAGAGTCCGGAAAGAGAGGTCACAGAAGAGTACCATTTCAATCCTTGATATCTTCGGTTTCGAGAATTTGCTCCGTAACAGTTTCGAACAATTTTGCATAAATTATACGAACGAGGTCCTGCACCAGCTATTCATCAATTTCATGTTCAAAATGGAACAAAGGTTGGTATGTTATCGGCTATCAGTGAGGTATAAATGAAATAAAAGATCGGAAATAAGCAGTTGTATAAAAAACAAAGATAGGTTTGAATGAAATCAGCGAGAACATGCTCCTTATATTCTCAGTTGGTTATCATATGTTTACGCATACGCTTTTCGTATCATTTTTACTAGCTGTCACTCTTATAATCAGAATATCATTTAATCGAATGCATGCAGAATGACTGGCTTTTTGCTTCATATTAGCGCGTGCTCATATAAAAAAAAAATTTTTAGAGTAATAAACAAAATGGAAAGTTCTATTGATTAACGGATAAACAACTTATTTATTCATCCAAACAATTTCTGAACTCAAAAGCTTAAACTTAATCATTTTAATATCACTCGAACGATTAGAGTAATAAATAAAATGGAAAGTTCAATTTTATGCCAGCATTAATTTCTTGAATTTTCGATAATTTTTTAGAGCCCATCTTTAACAATAAGAATCCATCTTCAACAAAAGCACTGTTCTTCGATAATTGGGAGAAATCTCCTTATAATGAATAAGAGATAAATCATAGCATTCTTTACGATCTTTTCAAATCATCTTCCTCAACCTAACATACTGTCTTCAATTACATTCCTCTTTGGAGCAATCTTTCTCGATCTCATGAAGATCAATATTTGATTTCATCATTGTGGCTAACGAACAGTTCATCTTTTCGGATGATTATGATATCGATGAGATTTATATGTTTTGAACGCAATGACAAAGATTCTTCGCTTTTTTCTTTTATTATCAGAAGAAAACTGCTTTCTGCAATATCCAACTTTTGCTTCATTTCATCGTTCTCACTTTCAACAGGCAGGAACTATATCTTATGAAAATATGTCTCTAAAGATATCAAACATTTCTTCTCTCATCATATTCCCAAAATTATTTTCTTAATCAAACTATTTTTTGGTTGCTGAAAAAAATAACCGAATAAAAATTTCGCTTTTTAATGAAAACTCTTTGGTAAATAGGGAAGTGTTCGAAAATTCATTTCTTTACTAATTGAATTGCATGGAGAGTGAATTTTCAGAATTTTCAGTACCTATGATTTGGAACGGATAAATTGGGGGCCGATCGAAGTTGTGAGCAATAAGGGAGTTTTGGATTTGATTGCACTGGGACCAATGAGTGTTATGTCAATTATGGATGAAGAAAGCGTTCTTCCAATGGTTTGCATGCTAATTAACTTAACATAGAATGACTATGATGTAGCACTCGAGATGAATAATAGGAATTCTTTTTCTTTTTTAACTTTTCAGGGTACTGATCAAGGTATGCTCAAAAAATTACACATCCATCATGAGAGCAAAGAAGGACTATATTTTAGGCCTCAATCTGATTTAGACAAATCATTTGGCATAGCTCATTATGCTGGGACTGTTTTCTATCATTCCAAAGGTTTTCTTGTCTTTTATGTTATTTGCTTACTCATAAGGCAGATAGAGAGACTGTCGTAAACTGCAAGTTTCCTAGTATCAATAACAACAATCACATGTCAGCCCAACTAACTTATTCTAACCATCACACGTGTTACTTCACCATATCTGAGAATTTCTATCGCAGTTGCGTAATTTATGATGTATTGATGACAATGTGCTATTATATCTGCCAGTACATTATAAATCAGCTCCAAGTTTTGCATCTTCAACCAATCCAATTGAAAAAAAAATTTTTTTTCATTTCCAGGCTTTATTGATAAAAACCGTGACAACTTTTCTTCTGATTTACTTGAGCTTCTACATGGGAGTGAATTCCGACTTCTTAGACTGCTCTTTGATGATGTCTACGACTACGACATGTCAGTGATGCGGAACAAACATCCTACCGTTGCTAGCCATTTCAGAAAATCACTGCAAAATTTAGTCACAAGTTTGGAGCAGAAAGAACCTTTCTTTATAATATGCATTGTACCAAATGCAATTAAACAACCACTGGTAAATTTACAGTTTATTTCCTTAACCAAAAAACCTGAGTTAACTGGCTATAACTTATTCAAATTAACAGGAAACAAATAATTTTCTGGGTACTCTTCTGTCTTTGACTTTATAATCACGTTACGAAATTATCACACCTTTTCTTGCTCCTCCTAAATAATGAATTTTGACTTTATATATCTGCTCAGCTACATTGCGAGAAAGTCATCTTTTCGAACTTCTCATTTGGCTACATACATCCTTCAGAGACAAGCAACTTTAACTCAAGTCATTTCCTAATTCCCGAGAAATTTTGTTTTGTTTTCATAAGACAAATGTTGAAATGCTGTCTTTAATTGTATTAAGAATGATATTCGCATTATGGAAACTGAAAATTGTAAAAAAAAGTAACAGTGATGAAAGAAACATGAGAAGTTACCAAACCTCAAGAAACCTCTATTACAAGCACCTATCTGGTACCTACCTGGCTGTAGTATTTAGGCCACTCAAACTTAAATATATTTTTCAAAGCGAAATGTAAAATTTCGTGTTTAAGTGATTAAAGTTATAGTAAGTTATTAAACTGTTATGAAAAGTATAAATATATTCAAAATAAAAATTTTGAAAAATCAATGGAAGCTAGTCAAGTTCAAGAACTGGAGGTCAGCAAACCATTGTTTTCCGAATAATCTAGGAAACAAAGAGGAGGAAAAAGAATTTCTATGTGCACTCTTTTGTTAAAAAATAAAGTATCAATAACGTGATGCATTGCAAGGCTTATTTCATTTTTTGATTACTAAGCATCCAAGTGAGGTCATAAGAAGAGGTGGCATCTAAAAACGGATAGTTTAAATGTATTAGGGATCCACTGAATGTCTCAAGCTAATAATCTCATTAAAATAATAGAGTAAACTACATTTTTTAGTAAATTTTAATAAACTTAACAAAGATTTTTCTTCTCTGTATCAAAGAGCCGTAATTAAAGTTCATGGAGCGTGAAATCGTTTACAAGCAAATGCGTTATATGAGCTTGCTAGAAATGGTAAGGATTCGAAAATCAGGTTATCCTATCCGATATCAATATGAGTATTTTGTGGGACGTTATCGGTTGCTTGTCGATGGTATTGGTGAGATTTTTATTCGTCTTAATTCTAGTCGTCCAGGTTCTAAGAGTTTGAATTTTGCACCTTTGTTTCGAGACCACAAGTCTTATGTGGTTTGAAAAAATGATTAAAATTTGATTCGCATCTCGAATAAATTTCAAAACAACAATTACCTTTCCGAAATAAATTTTAAAACCAGTTTTATATCGTTATAAAAATAGTGTTTAGGCCCTCCGCATAAAATAGATTGTCGTGTGGCATCACGACGAATTTGTGATATTGTTTTGGGACCGAGAGCTGATATTAGGCTGGGTAAAACAATGGTATTCTTGAAAGAAGCCCAACACTTGCTACTACAGCAGGTAGTGTAGAGAGAAGAGTTAAAATGAATCATTTGTGTCTTTACTAGATTATAAAAGGCTTAAGCTGCTTGAAATGCAAAGAACGGTCATAAACGCTTTGGCATCTAGCTGGAATGTTTTGATTGTTCCGACATGTTGGCAAGTTGATCCCAGATGATTCAAACTGGAAAATTTATTACTATTCTTGAAAGGTATAAATAAAACATAAGTTGGTAATTCTCATTTCAGGAACAAGAGCGTATGTTGATATTGCGTGTAACAACGATTCAGAAAATCATTCGTGGATGGATTCATCGGACACAATTCAAACAAATGAAAGCTGCCGCTATTATCATCGAAAAATACTGGCGTGGCTACGTGCAACGTCAGCGATATCGTCAGGTATTTTTGGACTCTGAGTCTATTAGTTTGCATCAGATTTGAATGAATTTAAAATTTCAGAAAATAAAAATTTACCGCATTTAGTTATGCCATAAAACAATCATCAATTTCTCACCATTTATTCCATGTAATCGAATATAGAATCGAATATTGTTAGTATTAAGAACCAACTAATATTAACAATATTAGTATATTGTTAGTATTAGTTAGTTCATTGAAAAAAAATTTCCAGTTAAGAAGTTGAAATCTAAAGTTTGCTGTTGACATCAATCTTTCTAAAGCAAATGGTAAACACAATATCTTATCTTTCTATGGAAATTATATATATGTATTAATAGGAGATAAGAATGATAGGATAGGTTAAAAGATTGGTTAATTTTTCTAATACTGGAATGATAAGGAATAATAATGAAGAAAAGAAAATAAAGATTCGAATGGTAGTCTCGGAACAT